GGCACATGGGAGAAGCAGGGAAAGTGTTTTTGCGTTCCCTTCTCCTCCTGCCCTTTCTGTTCTTCTGCATTCCTTTTTTGTCACGAAGGGTGAAATAGGATCTCAGAGAATTACAGTATCTCACGGACTCAGAGGATCCCTTCTCAATTTGTATCTGGAGGTTCAAAGGTAGACAGGCGTTACTATTTAAAAAGGCAAATCACTGCTTGACTACAAACAAGAATTTCAGCCCCTCCCCTCTCTGTCTACCCATCTATCCATCCAGCAACCTTTCCTCTGGCGGGGCGCTAACAATACCTATTGTTAAGTGACAGCAAGCTGATACAGCTACCTCTGACTGTTTTGCGTGCTTCAAAACATTCAAGTGTTTCCCTATTGAGGGTTGCAGTAATTTAAACTGAGAAGTTACACAACCCTACAGCATACTCGGCCCAGGACTGAAACACTTGTTGTAGGCAAACAGGCATTATTGGTGGGTATTAGTATGAGAGGTTTTAGTAGCTAATCTCACCAGTGCAGCACTAACTATTAACAGTTTGCCTTTATTCCAGCACAGATGTGTGTAGGCACACACCAATGTAAAATGTAAAAGCATGAAAATTATGATGGCTTCCATTTGAACTATAACAGGCAACTCACTATTGAGCGGGGGTTGGAGTTGGACTGTAGGCCGGCAGGTAAACAGCTCTTACAGAGAGTACATGAGGAAGAAACTGGTCTCCTGGAATCTTCAAAAACTGTACAAGTATATTAAGTAGACCTGTAAAATCTGAGGAAATATAATGCAGTAGCCCTGCAATAGTTTTAATGAAGCTCAAGCTGCTCAGTTTGTTTTGATGTTGTGTAAAGTAGGTGTTAAATTCCATGGTCACCTTTGAGGCTGTAGTTGGTAGTGGTGCCGTACCTCACTAGATTCTATTGAAACTAGCCAGTTTACATTTAAATGCAGACTGTGTACTGGACAGTGCAGATGCTCATGGACAAAAGCTGAACCTAAGCTATATCACATGAAAGTGGAAAGCAGAGCAGCTTTACTGGAACATGCCCCCAGAGAGAGATATTCTGCCTGATTACCTGATGGGGACTTATGCCTATGGGACACAATATATGTTGGTGGAAGACACAAGAAAGTGCATCAAGTGGTGTGAATAATGGTATTAAAACAGACTGTGCCGTGCAGCTATTGTTTGCCGATTTCTTCTACAGCCATAGTAAAACATAAGGGAAATTACAGTGAAGTACATTTGTGTTGACTTATTGATTTAATGAGGTACATTATGTTCTCTATGATAACACAAAAAAAATCCTCAGAGATTCCGGAGTAGGTTGGTGGCATTATTGATCACTCAGCCAGGTGCAAGAGATTTTAATGCTGACTCTCTGGTCTGTATCCATGCGACACCTTCCTGATATTCTCCTTGCATTTTCATTGGCTCAGTAACAGAGAGTAGTCTTGCAAGCAAACACCTAAGGAGACATTCAAGTGGTACTGCTGCCAATAGTGTTTCATATTGTAATCTATCACCTCTTCATAGACATATATCCAACATTGACAGTAATTAAAAGGCTCACTCTGCTTTACAGGGAAAATTTGACTTAATTTATTTTTTTTTATCATTATAATCACCATTCAAGGGAAGGTTAGGATCAGGTCTGTTGTGTCTTGCATTTACTGCACAAGTCAAGGTTGTATATTACTTCATACCCCTTTAATGACCTTGTCATTAAAGAGAACATAGATAAAACAAACACAATTTGGAGTAATTAGATGATAGTTGAGGGAAAATACACAGTATGATGATGACATGGACGCAATACTTTAAGTACTTGCAGCTGTTTGACTGTTCACAGCACACATCCAGGAAGATAAACGGTGACAGAGAGAGAGAGAGAGAGAGAGAGATAGATAGAGAGAAAGAGAGAGAGAGAGAGAGAGAGAGATTGGTTTCTAAAACAGCACCTCTAAAGTATCTGTCTACACCTAGACTGGTTAAAATTCATGAGAATATTAGTGGAGGGAGCCATGAAATTTTCTTGGCTTCACCTTCACCAAGATGAAGCAGTGAAAGGTCTCGATTTTAGCTAATATTCTCCAAATAGATATATAGAAACAAATTCCACCACAGTGCTAGACAATCACACTTGAAGTGGTATTAATTATATAGCTGGCTGACACACAAAGGGGGGGAACAAGAAGAAAGCAGCATCTGGAGGTACTGCAGAAATATTGCTTCTGATATCCGCAATGTTTTTGTTTGCTTTATTCCTCCAGCAAAAATCTTTTAATAGTTTCTTAACAGCAGGTCAACTACACGCAATTAAATGCACCTGCACAGAATAATCATCTTATTAAAATGATTGGATCAGCAGGGGAAGTGTGCTGCCAAATTGTTAAACAGATTATCCCCATAATGAGTTTATTTGTGCAGCAAGAGTGTATTCATCTATCCTCAGCCCACTGTGTGACAGATACAATTCTCACCAGCAACAACGGTGAAGCCCTTTTTTTTTTGTTTTTTTCAAAACAATAGGGATTCTAAAAGTAGTGGTTATTACTCTTGACAGTCAAGTTTAATAATTAATTTAATGATGAAAATATTCAGATTTGTTCAAATTGTGTCCCATTTAAGTCTTGAAGCAATAAATGCCAAGGAGAAATCATTTGGCAGGTCAAAAGAGCTGGCACTAAAGATAAAGACATGTCGTCCTTGAAGTAGAAATCTCTCAAAACAGTACCAGTTCATGAAAGTTCAATGGAGCAAAATATGGCTTTTATTCTGGACATGATGGAATCAATACAGCATCTGCTGAGCTTGTGTTTAGTGTAAACACTCTTGTTTCCTCATGTGGTTTGTTTTCGCTCTATACACCCAGTGTTCCTAAGGTGTTTAACACGGTTGTTAATCAGAGTGCCTCCAGGGTCATGCATCTGTCCACACCTCCCACTTAGAGCAAAGGAATGCATGTCCATTAGTGAGTGCACGCAAAACATCTCTATGCACATAGAGGTTTATATACAGTACAATATTTCTGTGATTGATTCTACTTATTCCTTCATTGAGCATCTCCTTTGGAGACATCATCTTGCACAGAACAAAATGTGCAGATCATAAAGTGATCTAAAAGCTACGCTGTAAAACATTTTCGGATGGTTTAACTTAAAACGCAAACTTTCCTGCTGCCCTAAAAAACGGCCGTTAACTGATGATAGGTTCAAAGAGGGGAAGGGACTGGAAAGGATACCAACATCCATGTTTCCATCCATCCATAATGTTTTGCATTATTTTCATAATTAGAAGAAGAAACAACCATGATTTTAAGACTCCCAGCAAGTTTCCATCATATGTTTTTTCTTAAAACCACAAAATAGAAGAGTCTCTGGAGAGGTTTAATTCTTAAATAATGCTTGCTGGGAAGTCCGCTAACATGCTAATGATGTTTATTTGGGTACTTAATTTTATTTTAATGAACACAGAGCTGTACAGGTATTAAAAAAAGTTCTAAATTGGTTGAGAAATTAAATTTAATTAACTGGAAATGAAGAAAAATTTTTGTATGATGTTTTACAATGTATCAGAGTCGCTACTTGACCTTTAGCAGCATCGAGGTCTGTGAAGCAGCTCTAGGCAACTTATTTCACTCCTCCAGTTGACTCCTCAAAATAAATGTGGGCCTCCAGAGGGACGGGATATTGGAACGCTTCTAAACATTGGCTACCTGGCACATCAATACTAAACCTCAAATCAATGTTTAACGGAGGCTGCATTTAAATGAGAAAATCTAATCTATGGCTTCTGAATAATTAAATTGGGTTTTCATAGCGTGCGCCAGCTGAAAAACAGAATCCAAGGTTATCTCCACCTAAATAGGCTGAAAGGGCAAGTCTGCCATTCAAAGCTGAGTAAAATGGTACAGTCTGTAAAATGTCTAGAACTTGTGGGACGCTCGATGGACACTTGAAAGTACAGTTTCATCTTGAAAGGTCTTGGAATCACTTTTGTCAGATAAGTCCGTCTGAGCGGTTGGCAGCAAAGTCTATTGTAGTTGGAAATCGGACGTGGATCCTTTTTCCTCTCCCCTTTGTTGAAGATTAAGACAAAGCAGAGCCGTCTGGCCGGGCAGACAGGAGCCACCTATAGCCTCGAAATGCAGGATGAGTCACTTGGAACATTCCGGAAAGGATTTCAACACCCCCTACCCCTCCTCCCTTCCAACCTCCCCCTCCCTTGTTTTTAATTACACACTATCCTATTCCTGTCTCAGGGCGTGAATTCCTCAAGTATTCTCAAACTGCTTGGACGCACGTCAATTTACGGCTAACCCGGACGCTTTAACGCTTTTCAACATGTCCAATCTGTCATTGATGAAAAAATACACAAAAGCTCAAGCATCCACACACACAAACACAAACACACACACAAACACACACACACACACACCCACACAAACAGCATTTCAATAGCATTGGTTGCACTCAGCCGGGCCAAGTTATCTCAGGTCAGTAATTGAGATGTTATCTTCACAGGAGAGGATGCACTCCCGGGATCATTCAACACGGCCTCACCACTCATTTCCATTTAAGCTGAATCAGCTCTCTCTCTCTCTCTCCTCCCCTCGTGATTAAAGCACCTTACCACTGTTGGCTGGTGGAAAACCAGCTTCCGCTCGATGAGTAAGTGGCAACTTTAATACGCTGGTGTTGTGCGCTGAAGATCTGACCACAATAAACAATGATTACCCTGCGGTTGCTCAGGGCAGGGGTTCTCCTTCACTTAGTTTTCATGTGAAATATGTGCACATCAGCAGGCCTGTGTGTTACTTCGGGGTGGGGGGTGGGGGGTTTGAGTCATGATATGCTCAGGAGCACCATATATTCTGACATCCTTTGTGGTGCATGTTTCTATTTCAGTGCAGTCTGACAAAAAAAAAAAGTCATATGCAACTGCAAAGTAACAGCTGTGTTTTCGCTGTGTATACTAGTTCTATAGTTGCAAACTCACCTTGATTGCAGGTCTTGCCAGTGAAGCCGGGGTGGCACTTGCACTTATTGGGTCCCACGCAGTCTCCGTGCTTACATCCTGGCTGGCACACAGCTGTTCGGGGAGGATTCAAAGAGGAAGAGACAGATCAGTGCAGCGCCCTGGCAGACTTCTTGTACCAGATCAGGATGACAAAGCACTTAATCCTACTGCTTCTTGACTTCCACAACCCCTTGGCTGTAAATGATCTATTTACCCCACATTAAAGCAATAAGACAGCATGATGCCTCATTCATATAGGGAATGTGTTTGTTTGTTTCTCCTTGTGCGACAGTGTTATTATCAATGACTAATGATAATAGAGCAGCCATTTTCAGCTAACCAGATTATATATATATAGCAATTTTTTTTTTTCACATTGCACAGCGCTGACTCTTGGGGAAGTTTTATTGCACGCACTGATATTAAATCATTTCAGACTCTATGAGATAAATGAGAAGTTTGACCTTTTACCACAGAGAAAAGTTTAGATTTTTCTTGAGTTTAAAATGCAGCACTGATATTTATCCTGGCACACACCCAATGAGAATTACCTTGGCAAATAATATTTCCCCCTAAGACTGTAGCACAATTAGAGCACCAAAATAGTAGATTATAATTAGTGCCTCTGTAAAGAGCTGCCCTGCACTTCGTACACTGTGCGGATGGTGATATTTTGAGTGCATACAGAGACGTGGTAGTTGCAGGAGCTATACAGCTTCACTGACTCTCTGTGTTTGGTCTCAGCGAGCTGGAGGCTTGCCCTGCTTATCTGACTGTGCTTACTGCAGCTTGCTGCTAAGCATGTCTGAATCACGGGGCCTCAGCCAAGTGTTACTAATTTTCATTAAAAGCTTCATTAATTCTGTCATAATACAGTGCAATCAGAGGACTTAATTATCACTGTGGTGGAAGAGGAAGTACGTGTGTGTGTGTGTGTGTGTGTGTTTGAGAGAGAGAGAGAGAGAGAGAGAGATTCTGGATTAGAGTGCTTATATATACGAGCTAATGTGTTGTGTACTGCATGTGGAAAGGTGTGATGTGTACTATGCTGCTTCTTGTTTGTCAGTGTGACCTTTAGCTGCTTAGCTCTACTACTTAACAGATTTTTGTTCAATTTGGTGGCGAGTTGGTTCATAGGGCAACAGAAGAACAAATTAGTGGATGTTCAGACTGAAAATAGCACTGCATTAAAGAAACTGCTAGAGGCTGTGTTGAGGTGGGTGTTGTCTCGGCTTGAGTGAGAATATGAAAAATGATCCAGGAAGTCCAGTTTAATAAAATAAAGCCATGATTAATATATCAATGACTTTTTGGCTTTTTCAGAGGCCAGAACACCGCACAGTGGTTTACATTACTGTATTAGTCTGGAAAGCTCTCCCTTTGTCTTAATGCTTACAGGGTAAAATGGTAGAATAACAATGTTCACATTACAAAGTAATTTACCAGAAATGTGCTTTTCACACAGAGTATTTAAGTGGCTAACATGACGGTGCCAGATGAATGTGGATTGCATTGCAGAAAAAGTTACGGTAGGTTAAAACTTTTTTCCACCTCTACCCTGCATTTACTTTCCAGAGCCCTTTGCATCAGGACACCTGTCGAGCCACCGCAGTGGTCTCGCTGAAATGACAGAGGGAGAGGATTTTTTTTGACACAGTGCTACTGCGTTGCTACTTTGCACTTTTAAAGCTCTTTATATTTTTGCTTGTTCACCTAAATTGTGACAAATTCTCAATGTTCCTGTTACCTCTATCAGTAAAAGCAACATTTATTTGGCTTTCTATTTTTATATTTTTGCAAAACACCTTTTTCACTGTTTCTCCATCTCAAAATTGCCCATATTTACCACATAACATACCTGAATGAGCACACACTGCCTACTGTGTGGTCTATTTTAGATAAACTGCTACAAAGGTTTGACCACACAGTGCCTTTGCAACTCTATGATGTGCTTATACCGCAGAACATATAGTCATTGTGTACGTTTCCATTGAATCGTGCAGCCTCGGTGGAGATATATATAAGTCAGATAGAAATTATAAATGATAGAAACAAGGTAAAAGCCACCTCAACATACTCAGGGACACCTAATAGAACTAAAGAAGAAAGGGTTGAATTATATTCTCTCTATAGGAAATACATATACTGAGAATCAAGTTACAATATCGTTTATTACAATTTCCAGTGACACACATTCAGGGCTATCCGAAAGGAACAACTTTATCTCCTTAGGTTTCAGTCTGTAACACTGTTCAAATGGAATTCACCGGCAAAGGTATGAGATGAATCCTTTAACTGGAGTAGATAACATCTCCAGACTCATTCCACTTTATTAGGCTATGTAATCAAATAGGAAGAAAGTACTGCTAGCCCACTTGTGGTGATATGAGTCAGGGTGTTAACCCTCTGAGCAGTCATAGTTCACAATTAATGATTAAAAATGGCCCAATTTGTTGGAGGAAAGGAAGAGCGCTGTAGTTTTCTGGAAGCAGAGGTTTGTTAGACTTTGGTCTGGTCCTCAGATAAAAGGAAAGAAGCTATTGATGTTGTTAGTTAGAGAGTAGTCAAATGGGGTGCTTTTTGTTATTGTCCTACATGGAGGGAGGATTTGATTAGCAGGATCAGAGGCAGCCATCAACAGGCTTTGCCTCTGAGGGTATTTTTGAGCCTCTGGCCTGGCAGAGAGATCAGGAAAATGGCCAGTGTTCATTAAACACACAGCAAAGGACACGGACGACTAAAAATGGCCGCACCAGCTGGAAGGCCAAACATAGCACGTATGACCCTTGTTCCGCCATCAAAACATGCCGAGTGATGACACACTTTCGCTCTGGTTTACATCAGCCATTCCTCTGGACAGCAGAAGGCTGGTACCGACGCAGATTCTTTTGATTTAATGTCTATTTGTGGACGGCTCATCAGAAACACGAAGGAACGTATTATGTTTTTAATTGATTCTGATGCTGTGTATGCATTTTTATACTAGTGCACTGCATTGCTTTGTCAAAGTAAGAAAGGAGAATCATTACATAATTAACTACAAGTTGCACCAACTTGTAATCAACTCATTCTTCACCTAAGGCTGCTTCTAATGATTATTTCATGATAGGTTGATTTTTTGACTATAATGTAAATTTTCCATTTGAAAACGCCCAGAAAGGAGGTGATGTCTTAAAATTGCTTATCAACAGTCCCAAACCCAAAAAGATATAAAACAGAGATAAAGCAGAAAAGTCTAACATTTGAGACACTGGAACCAGAGAATATTTGGCATTTTTACTTGACAAATGACAAATAATTGATTATCAGAATTGCTCATCTTATTAAATGATCAATTTATCAACATACAGTGCATACTATACAGAAAACATATCATCTAGTGTCTGAATAATTTAATCTTGCTGTTGCTCGTATGGAGTGAAAATGTCATTGATCCGCCGCCTAATGTCAGGGTGAATGTTTTATTTACATACGTGATGAAGTATGATAGCATTGACATTCTCAGCCTGCACAACCCGATCGAGATTTCTATGTAGTTATGTATGCAGAGCCTCTCAAACCACACTAAATACTCAGATGGATATAAAAGGTGTGGCTATTAAATAATGAGACAGGGCCTGTGTAAGCCGACCCAGCATTAGTCTCATTATTTAATAGCCACACCTCGTATTATTGATGTATTAATTAAAAAACATTATGGATTTCAGCTTTAAGGGTTTCATTAGTATTCCAAGGGGTCGAGGGGGTAGATGAATCTTAATAAGCCACTAAAGAACTTCAGCATAATTCATGTTAGACATGTCTGCAGGTGAAATCAGGTCTGCAGAGCGTAAGCTGTTTGCATAGATCTGAGGCGGAGGGAAGGTGATGGTAGCTGCCAAGGGGTGTGAGCGAGGTGTAAGCGGTGTTGGGTGGGGGTTAGACTGGGCTTGGCTCTATAAATAAGTGAGTGAGCCCAGGATTCAGAGGATGTGCCCCCCAGCTATACATGTCTAGCAAGATTATTTCAAGAAAACGTGGAGCTAACCTTGGGGCTGGCACCTTATCCCGACTACTCTGTGAGTTAAGGCGAAGAGAGCTGCAAAACAAATAGCCAAACAAACAAAGGTTGCAGCCACTGTTTAGCCTTTGAGAGAAAATTAAAAAAAAAAAAAAAATTAAACATGATGTTAGAGGGCAGAGGCTGGTCACTTGGACAAGCAAACATTCCTGGAAAAGAAAGAAGAAAAAAAAAGAAAAAAAAAAACACCCACACACTCTCACAGTCTGGAGTTCTGGAGTCACACATATCACCAGTTGCCTCTGGGTAACAGCTCCATTTTGAATGCATTTACAATTGAGTTCTGATAATTAAAATGATGTCTGACTGAAGCCACTGTCTCCAGGGATGTTCTCTTATTTCTGAAAATGTTAACTTCATATTCCTTATCACTCACATCTAAATGGGAGCGAATAAAGCAGTCTCCCCTCATACACTGTGGAACAATAAAATTATAATTCTCTCTTTTAAATTACAACACTGCACTGTAAGATGAAAATACCACCATTATCATTCAATGAGATCATGGCCCCGGTTTCTTCGATATAAAAATAAAGGCTTCAGCTACCTGACTGTGAACAGATTGCCTTTTCACCAGGGGTTTGATTTTTAATATCAGCACAGTTTCAAAGTGCCTTTAAAGTGGGAAATGTGTCAAATAATTCTGAACATGTGCTTTTTATTTCTGCATATGTTCCCTCTCATTTTTTTTTTCAAGTAAACCTTCCCATTTTGTTTTCACCTTATTACCTCAAACAAATGAAAAGGCACACTTTCAGACTGGCCTTTACAGTCCAGTGATCATGAAAGAAAGTAGGGTAGACAAGGGAACCGCACAGACAATCAACATGAAGTGAATTACTTAAACTGAGGTATCACTTTTCTGCTTTCATCGCTCACTTGTTAGCTCACATTACCAATTCAAATGTCCTGCCTTAATCCTGTCCACTCCATTTGTAGAGACAAAGACTGCACTCAATCAAACTAAATCCTGATCTCAATGGAGCCCATCAGGACCTCTGAGGAAATTATAATGTGTGAACTATTTAATATGGAGGTGATATTCAACCCAGTTCCTTTACATTGCAGAGATAAATGCGTGTCTTTCTACCAGAGCTGTTTTTAAGACTTTTGGGAGAATTCAGGTTAATCAAAACTAGTTTTGGGTCCTTTGAGATGTGTCCAAGTCAGGTGACAGATTTTCGTAAGCACTTTGCAAGTCAACTGCAAGTCTCTCAGGTCTCTGAATGCTGGCGATTAAAACAGTACAGCATTTGAGCATGTGCTTTTCATGTGTGTTTCCATTTACTACAGTTATGCAAATATTAGATGAAACATAAGAGGGGGGTGCAACTTGATGATGCCATTAAAAGAGCACCAGTTAAACCTCAAGTGGTGAGGTTAGAAAAATGTCACAGTCTCCTTATCGCTCCACACAGACCTGAGGTTTTCGTCTGCTGCTATTTCTGTGGAGCGGAAACTTCAGTGGACATGTGAGTCATGTACTTGATGTACAATATGTTTTATTTGCTCAGTCTATTTCCATTGTTGGCACTTGTTGTCACACTTGGCACTTGATACACCAACTTTTCTTTTTTCACAAAATTTTTTTTTTGCGATATATTTTTTTTTTTAACTTTTTCACAGTTTTTTCATTTTTTGTGCAAATTGAAAATGCACATAAAAAAGGTGGATGGATGTCTTTATTATTATTATTATTATTATTATTATTATGTTTTTATTTTGTGGACTTGTGGGCATTTATCAGGTAGTAAATGTGTGTAGTGAAAGACATATCAGGTTGTTTATGGGAAGTGTAGGATTCTGGGTAACTAATGCTAAATGTCAGGATATCTCACTGCTGCTGGTTGGATTTTATTGAAAGGAAAAGATAAATCACTGGACTATTCTTGTAAAGATAGTCCTTTCCACAATATCTGTGAATGGCAACTATGATGCTCAAGAAAGGTGGTGGTTATAGAAAATAAAGTGTGGGTATGGTTAGGTAACTAAGTAACCTGGTTAAGGCTAGGTTAGATTATGGTTTACGTTACAGGCCTCTGACTATACCCGAATCCACCACCCCAACCTTCACACCCTTACTTTCCAACTTGCTACATATAGGGCACAGTACTGCCTGCACTGACACTGCATCTTGGCAGAATTACCCAATATGAAGTAAATTCAGAAGCATACTGGGCTGTATAATTTTGATTCTTCAGTCAGTTCCTAAAGTTGTTCTCTTATGAATTTTGAGGCCCAAACAATTTTGCTTTTCAAAACATCTAATAGGGATATAATTAACTTCAAATTAAAGTTGGTCTGTTTACAACCTCACAAACGTAATAAATAATGCTCCTCTTCCTGCTTCAACTGACTGAGGGGATCAATGGATAGTAAGACTAATTTTTTCGTCTTCATCAAAAGTGGAAGAAATAAAAATATTTTAGTTACTGTAAACTGTATCACACTGGAAATGCAAATGCTGAACAAATGTACAAATGCTCACAGTGGCAGTAAAATGATCATGATGGCAGCTGGTTAGAATAAGTAGCTTCAAGTGTGGCTCTGCCTGCCTGATGGCCTGTCAGAACATTATAAGTGGAGCTTCAGTCTACTATAAATCTAAAGCTCCTCTCTCTCTCTCTCCCTCCATCTGCCTGATTTTCTCACTTGTCTCCCTCTTCCCCACTCTGGCAGCAATCATCTCTAACTCCTTCTTACCTCTAAACCATTTGCTTTACACCTCAGGATTTCTACTTTCCCCAACTTTTAGTTCTTTCTTTCCTCTCCCCCTTGCGCTTTCGGTTCTGGGAGCTTATAAAAAAAAAAAAAAAAAAAAAAGCCAAGGTTGATCCATTTTTCATTCTTTGAGAGAAGTAGCACAAAACTATCGCTGAGCTCCATGGCTGAGAAGGCTACAATCCGATAGTGCCGATCTAATCTCCTCAATCGCTACAAAAACTTTCCAGGACCTGAAATCTGTGATGATTGCATCCTCTCACACAGACATGCACACAAAGGAGCACACAAACACACACAACTACACACACATACACATAGATGATTACACTCCCTTTCTTTCTTAAGCCGTCCACCTAAAGTTCAAATCAGCACCTTACTGACTTGATGGAATACTGATTGTAGTCTCAAGTGAATGGATTTGAGCAGCGCACACAGTCAGGGGCATTTAGAAGCATTAAGACAAGCACTCACTGCTCAAAGAACAGATATGGTTTTGTTGGACAAAAACAAAAACAAAAAAAAAAAGGGTAGCAACTTGATACTGTTAAACTCAAAATTAGCTGATGTTGGCTCATGGAACATGTGGGACTCCAGAACAACAAAGAAAACATGTTCACACACTGCTTTCTGGGTGGTCGAGTAATAAATAAATTCCGACTACGATGCGTATTCACTCTTGATTTCTAAAGCCAAAACAATGATTGTCATGTCTTGTGGAATTGTAAGTATAGGCTACAGCATGTGCTGTGGCACCGTTGGGGTTTGAAATGGGTGAAACATGAGTTTCTTCTCCCGTAATCTAAGCTTCTGTGATAATGAAGGCATCTTCATCTATTTTGTCCTTGTTCAAAACCAACAATCTATTCCACCTTGCATTTTGAACATGGGAATCTGTCAAGGCAGACAGCCCAGTACAGATGCACTGGGAGGAATTGGGCATTGAGACGGCAGACTCCTGCCAGGATTACTGCTGAGTCTGGCCCCATTTTCAAACAAACAGCATCAAGTGATACAATTGAACTGTCTGAGTAAAAAAGTGCTTTCGTCTGAATCATTCCAGCTCAGATTTTGTAGTTCAAGTGTCAAGGCCTTGTGAAAAGGTAGGAGTTTTTTTTTTTCAAGAAGGCCAACTATTGCAAAAAAGAAAAAAAAGAAAAAAAAAACTCTAATTTACAACCATGAAATCAACCCCCCTCAAGCTACGAGGCTAGGTCTGTCCCATAAACCATTAGCATAAGTTGTTTTTCTGACTCCAAGTGTTTATGTAAGAATAAAATTATCATATTTTGTTTTAGACATGAAGCGAGAGGTGGATAAAAAGCAGATTTGTCTTGCAAAGACCTTGGGTTAATGTGGCTGAGCTAAAAGAAATACAAAACACCGGGGCCATGAACTCAAGTAATACTGTTTGTATTCTCCAGAACAAACTAAGACATTGTGCAGAACACAGCATCAGGTAAAAAATATGGAAAATAGCTGCTATAAACCCAGCATATTCAGCTCATCTTTTTTAAATGCAGCCGCACAGACGTTTGGACCCAACAAGCAGTGTGTGACATATTCTTACACAAAAAAATGCATAAAATACAATGAGTTAAACACAAGGTCAGTTATAGCATGGCATGATGAGCTTCAACACATAAAAACACAAGTCAAAAAATGGTAATTTCAGCGATGAAAAACACAAAATGAGCGGATTAATGAACATTATTTGAACAATCTTTAATATGTGGCCGCAACCAACATGCAGAGTTAAGAAACTTTGAAGGCCTTTTCCACAAAAGGAACTTAACAACCTGAACTTGAACTATTAAGAACTTCTAAGGTTTTGGTGCCAAGTTCTGCCTTTTGTTTCCACAGTTTTTTACAAAGCGGGATATTTTGGATACACATCACAGAGCAGGAGACACTGCTTTGAATTGATATATGCCTTTAAATGTGTGTAAGGGGGACAGATGGTGTCATTTGGGTGAGTGCAGCTGTATGACAGAAAACAATGTAGGAAGAGTTGCTAATCCTGGTGTTGATTTTCTTTCACTTCTATGACAACAAAGATGGAAAGACTTGCAAAGGGGAGCAGAAATACTGGAGAAAGCAGATAGCATGACTGATAGATCCAATTGTGGAAGCTACAGTTCTGAGGAAATGAAACAAGGATGTTCGACACCACTGAGAAAAGGTAAGAATGACAAACAGCACAAACTCCCCACCTGACACCAGACGTCAATGTAATGTCAGAAAGACGTTGGATTCTAATAAGTCTAACGGGGTAGATGTTAAATTTTGATTGGAAATGAAAATCGTGTTGACATCAAAACCCAACATTGGCTAACCGACTTTATGATGGGTAGCAGACAATGGGTTTTGCTCATGACCAGAATATTGGTATTATATATGTCAAGATGGAGTTGGCATAAGACATTTGGAAGACCCTAGATTGTGGTTACTGGACAACGCAAATTTAAACCAAGTAAATATCAACATCAGCTGTCATCAGTATTCTACCTCAAATTAACGTTGGCACTAGATGTTGGCCTAACATTGAATTTTGGTCACCCTACATCAGTTTCAAAAATCCTGCTTCCCCTGATTGATACAGATGGTTATCGCTTTATTCTTGAGTTTGTTGTGGTCGTCCTTTGCTGTGATGTGAGGATCAGCTTGACCAATCACGATCAACCATAGTTCCTGCACTCCTCATGCACTGAGAGCTGAGTACGTGGAACTTGGATGGGGCATTACCTCCTGATCAGTGGAAACAGGAGCAAAACCAGTGTTTTGACATTTTAGGATTTTTTTAGATTTAGACGAGAAGATCGATACTAGTCACATATCTGTACACAAAATATGAAGCTACCTCCAACAATCGATTAGCTTAGCTTAATATAAATATTGGAAACTGGGAAAAGCAGCTAATCTGGCTCTGTCCAAAGGTATCTGCTGGCGGTAGCTTCATATTTAACAAATAGTTGTGAAAGTGGTATTGATTTTCTCTTCTAACTCTTTGTAAGGTAACATATAATATCTCCCAAAACATCCAGCTATTGCTTCAAGTTGCAGGTTTGCTATGTCCCTGCAGTGGAAAAAGGCCTGGTTGTGCATTTACCCCCTTCTTGATTAAACCTCCATAGCAAAGCAGCAGCTATACCATCACAGGCACCAAGCCATGCAGGGGATGTGGCATTTGTGAGGCAACTGGCCAGATTTGAAACTCATGCTAGTATATTCACACCTTCCTGGGTAGCATTTCAGGAGAGCAGAGGATCTTTACACAATGTAAATATGTCGAAAATGTGACGTGTTAATATTTCATACAGTCCATCTGACACAGGCGTGTGGTGCTATAAGAGGCAACGACAGGGCACATCCTCTGAATCCTCTAAGTGCCGTTGCTGAATATACACACACGAGTCGATGTATGTACACCTGACAACGCCATAGATTGTGTGAACACCACTGTTCCTATTTGTATTGTTCTGGCAGCGTTAGCTAGCTTGTTTTTGCACAGTAGCAATCCATAATCAATCATATATCTACCCCTTGAATGTTTCCACCTGCAGCTATAGTCTCTCCCTCATTATGGCCACCCTCAGTGTGAATATAAATGTCAGCCGGTCCTCCATTCAACCAGCCATTAACATCAATCTTTCCTCAAAGATTGTCCCAGGAGCGATGCTCCATTAGCTGTATGTGTTTCTGTTGTTGACAACGTGCACGTATGTGTGTGAGTGCATGTATTTTCCCGAGCCTTTAGTGACTGCGCCAGCATCTCTTCTGTCTAATAGCATCTTTGACCCCAGCTAGAAACCTCGCAACCTTGTTAGCCCTGTTTTTGCCCCCAGCAGCAGCAGCAGGCATGGTGGCACTCACGCTGGCAGTGACCCCAGGAGCGGCGCGTCCATCCCCAGCAGCAGTCCACCCTGGCCCCGTATCGACACAGGCCATTGGATGAGGCCATCTGCCGCGGCCACCTGTGAGGAGATGGCATAATTAGTTCACGGCCAATTAAAATGTCTTTATGAAAAAGCAGGGGTCTTTTCAATGTTGTTTGGAGAGAAGCTTCAAAGTTTGCACATAATTCGTTTAATTTTTTCTGCTGTAGAGAGAAAAGACTCATTGTTTTTTCTATTCAATGTCTGAAAATAGTGAGAAATTCTCATTACACTTTCAGATATCCCAAGGCAACATCTTTCAGTCCTATGTTTTATCTGACTAACACTGCAAAATGGAAAGACTATCATATCCCATTTGAGAAGCTGGAATCAGGAAATGTTTGCCATTCATGCTTGAACATTTGAATGAAATGGTTTATTGATTTTCAAAATTGTTGCTGATCAATCTTCTGTCACTCAACCAATTGATAAATCAACTAATCGTTTCAGCTTCACATAAGAACAGAAGCAATTAATATATACGTGTATATATATATATATATATATATATATATATATATAGAGAGAGAGAGAGAGAGAGAGAGAGAGAGAGAGGGGGGGAGAGAGAGAGAGAGAGAGAGAGAGAGAGAGAGAGAGAGAGAGCGAGAGTGATAGAGAGAGAAACTTATGCTACATTTTCTCAGGGTGTTCAAGTCTGACTTCTACTACTTCACAGCTTCGCCACAGACGATCATCTTTGAATTACAGAAATAAAACTGATAGCACATCACATCGCGTTGGTTCGTATAATGTCAAAGTGGAGACCTGTGTTGAAAGCCTGCCAGACCCAATTTGAATTTAGACTTCAGTGTGCATCAGTGCAGAACTGACACTCAAATCTTAAAACGACATTACAGTTGTGTTCATTATAAGGTTTGTGAAGCAGAGTCGAAGCCATGCACTGCCTGGTGCCCTTGAAAATACAGTATGGTTTTTATCTCTATTTATTACATGAACACATGTCAGAGTACAGCGTTGCTGTATGTTTAAAGAACCTATCACACACTTTTATGATGGTGAAAGATAATCTTCTCCCTGCTACAGAGAGAGCAGCTAGTTATTAGTTTTTATACAGATATAGTTTTTTTTCCCGAAAACTGCAATTCCTCTAAGAGAAATTACAGCTGGATGTTTTTGTTACACCATGTTCTATTCTGCTCAGAGCAAGAAATAGCTTCTTGGCAGACTGTGCGTGTGGATTACCTTTTTATCTGTACCAAGGCTCACCACATATTTATGGAGAGAATAGGGTGAAGGAATGAGTCCATTTAAGGATACTGATGAAAATCCAAGCCGAATACTCTTGAGAGCCTGGCTCTGAGATGTTACCTAAAATCTAGCAAATAATAAATGAATCTGAAGACCAAGTGGGGTGAGTTTTTCCTACGGTACAATAAAAGAAACTATTTATCTCCTTAAGTGCTGAGACTACTCTTTCATTCTCATTGTAAGTCTTGAGCACATGAGACTTTTGCGGAGATTATTAAATAAATCCTGTTCATAAAAATGGACTGCTCTGAACTGACTATGCAGGTTCTAAGTTGCACAGAGGTGCTGTACACACTGTAATCCAGTTAGAAAACAAAGGAGAGGTTCTCTTGACATACTTCCTTTACACAAAAGATGCCTTCTTCTTTTGTGCCTCAATGAGAGAGTGAGGTTGTTGCTCAGTATTCAAGGCACATCCTATGCCGCTATCCCTGCCTAGTTAGTGTCTCTATGCCAAGATGAGGAAATGCTAATGCTTGCCCCCGCTGCCAATCACCTCACTGGAAAAAAACCAGATGGATGCTAAGTGAGAGTGGCAGATCCAGGGAAAATGTTTGTCTGCTGCCTGGCAAAGCAGGAAGGCAGTCAGGCAGTGAGAACCTCCAAGAAGCATGCAGTATAAGAGGAAAGGAAAGGAAAGGAAAAAAGGAAAAGGGAAAAGGTCAAATGGACAAACATGGTAACCTGCTGTCCGTCCATACTCTACACTTGTTAGCTACATAAAGCAAAACAAGAACCTCTCTGCATGTGGCAAAAGTAACTTCCTTTGGAGGATGGCGACAACTTCGAGAACATCTGAAAAACCTCCTCTGACATTTTAGTGACATTTAAATCTGTTGACGAGAAGCTGATTTCAACCTGATGTTCTCGCACTCTCTTGAATTTATTCATCAGTGTGCACAAGGTAATTATCATCTTAGAAGACGGAGGCATCATGTGGGAAGAGTTTATGCTGCTATGGTTGCACCTGCTCCTGCTCAGCCTAATGGTTTCACCTTGTTTTTTTTTTTTCAGATGACATTACAAAATTATCACCGTACTCCATGTGGAAAGCTTCCCATGCAACTGCAGATGACACCATCATCACATTTGTCAAAAGACTGTGAAGGTTAAACAGCTCCATCTAACTGTAAAAGAACGGTCAGAGATCTAAGTTTTGTCGTTTAATTTCCTTGAATAAAAGCTCTTTTCAAATGAAAGCCCAGTCATTAATACCAGAAACTCTGTCACAGATGTATGAACCCACCTCTGTAGGAATTTCTGAGACAGTGATTCAGTGGTGTTTAGCACGAATCTTGTTCCTCGATCTCTCCGTCAATAAATTGATTTTTTTTTCCTTTGTCCAACATTTTTTTTTTTTTTAAGAAGCAAATTGTGGGACTAGCACTCTTGTTGTTCTGTCATCTCTTTTTTTTTTTACAGCCTTGAAGTCTTTCAGATGCCACAAGTTGCTTTGAAAGTCACATCTAACAGTGATGATTGCCAGATGTTGCCAGAGAGACACGGTGTATGCAGCTAATTAGCTTCAACTTATATCACTTGCCAAAACTTGAAAGTTATGGAAATGTCCTCATTTTTAGTCTCATTCTTTTGCCCATAATTTTGTTGATTAATCAAAGTTAACCTGCAAGTGTTTTTATACAGTCGATTAATCGTTAAAAAATTTTTAAGCAAAACATTCAGTGGTTCCTATGGTTCAGACGTGATTATTTATTGTTTTTCAACTTGGGCTCAGGGATGTATCCCCATTTTCTAACAATGTGTAGACCAAAACGATTAATCAGTAGAATAAAAGGCACATTGAGCAAAAGTAAAAATAACTATTAGTTATACATTAGCCCTGTTCCTTTGTATATGGATAAACAAAAGACATGGAGGTCATTGAAATGTTAAATTATTATCAGAATGGAAACAAGACACAGATCAGGCAGCTTTATGATGGAACCAAGAAAAAGTCAATGGCCTATTTTGACAACTAAACCTGAGGTTTTGAGTTGTTTTTTTTCCAGCAGCAGGAAATAATAATGTGGTAAAGCTGGTATTTAGTTTGATTTGGTTTTTAACAAAAGTACACATACACTCTCAACATGCGAAGACCAAAAGGGCATAGCATTTCAATCTGAGCAAAGAAGGTTATGAAGACTAAGAGCAAAGTAGAGTTGAACTCCTATGGGCTCTGAGTGAACGGTGACAAATCTGCATCTGGGAGGTTTGTCTGGTGCAGTGGGTGCGAAAAAGGAAACAGGAACCTCATGAGATGCAACAGGTTCTGGATTATTGAATCAGATATTCTCCTCTAATGCTTTCACCTACACACTCATACATAAATACACACACACACACATACACACACACACACACACACACACACACACACACACACACGCGGTGCATGAATATGGAATCACGTTTCAGTGTCCTCAATGCTCCTCTCGGTCCTATTCATGCTGAATTTAGCCTGCGGCAGTTGTGCACCGCAGCATGCTCTGAACTTGAAACTGAGGGTATAATGCAATTCATCAGATCACCATTTCATCACATCATCACTGCAGCAATGTCAAATACATATTTTTCAATTCTTCGATCATTTAGGGCTTGAAAATTACGACAAGCAACAATGGAAGCTATGGTGACACTGCACAAAGGAGAAGGAGATTCTTTTCTTTCTTTTTTTTCTCCAGATGTACACCCAGTGATATTCTACTGAACGGAAAGCTGACATATCAAATGGACGTTGGTATAATACCTGTATTTATTACCCTGAGGCTCAGAATAATGATACTAAATTGCACTAAGCCTCGAAGGAACTCGAGCAGATAATTATCACCCTTCACGCGTGCTGTGTGACATCTCTTCTCAAGCACAGACAAGGTTCTTCCAGCAGAACCGGAGAGGATGATATCCACAGTGGGGACACCATCCTTCTTCCATTGTCTAACCGGGCATATAGAGCTGGCTCACCATCCCTGCCTAACAGTGAAGAGTAGTCAGTCCATTGCTCACAGGGGAGCAGTGTGGGATGTAGCATGATAATCAGAACCATGAAGGTGCAGTCCTAACTCAGAGCGATGATAATTCAATCTATCAATCTACCATCCATCCACGAACCCATACTGAAGCATGCAAAGCGTGACTGCCGAGTGGAGCTATCTCACCGACACCCATAGATTTTGGATTGCTGCATTTCCAGCGTCTCCGCTGAGAGACTTGCTCAGACCTGCAGAGCTCAGCTGAAGGCTCGAGCTTGTGGAGTCATCAGGTGTCTGCCGTCTTAATGAACCACCTCGGCTGCACGCACATTCAGATCCGCATGCAGGCCTCCGAGACTGCATACATAAACACGCAGCACCATGCGGGATATTGACAAATATCCTGGGTGAAGATTTAAGGCTAGGTTTCAGCTGGTCTGCTAAATCTACAGTTGGTCACATTAACGTTTCAAACTACACAGGCACAAGAGCTCGATGTCCCTTCCAAACAAACAGCTAAGAGCACGCTGAGTGCTACAAAACAAGAGCTTATACGATTATTTTTAAAAGGAATGAGACTTTTGTAAGTACTAGAATTAAAGCTGCAACCGGTTGATTAATCTAAATTGTAACAATTTTTAACACTTTAGTGACAAAAACATTAATTGGGAAAATAACTGTCAGATAATCAGTAATGAAAATAATTCTTAGTTGTAGCTCTAACTAGCATGTAGTGTCTGGGTGCAGTTTCTTGCAGTGAAGGATGCGCAGTGGCTCTGCTGTCCTGACTCCAGGCGTGGGGTTCATCCCAACACTGAGGGATTCAACACCACTGGCAACTACAGCCTTACAAATTACCACTGAATTAACTGTGACACGGTATTAACAGCAATTAATATCGGATTGTTAGGAAGTTTTACAGAACGGTTAAATTGCATTACAATATACAAGTGTCTGCTCACACACATTTTGCAGCAGTCTCGACAGCCAACAGGCAACAAAAGGACCAGACCTCGCTGCAATTTTTGTTATTCTCTCTCTTTCTTTGTACAAAGGATATTGCTTGTCATGTTGCCTGTGCACTTGAATTTCACATACAGTACATACTTCATTCAACATGACTCAAGGCTTTTCCTGGAAGTCAGTGGTTGTGGCCTGCATATGTTCGATGGTCCATGCAGCCCTAATTTCAATGCAGCATGGAGTTTCTGTTCAGATTTCCACCTGCGCTACTCCCTCAGTGTCCTGTGTGCTCAGTGGAAATGACAGCAAAATTACAGGAAGAGCAGGTAGCTTAGTTATGCTGCATTTTCCATTGGAACCTGGCAGTTTATTACAGTTGATGTGTCTTGTATCGTGAGGTGCGCTACTTGTGAATGCATGTTTCTCAATAGGCGAGACAACACTGAACCTGTCGGTCAGTGGAGTCTGACTCTACTCATTGTCCACTGGCAGAAAACATTTGTCAGGGTTACACTTTAAATCTTCTCTATGACTCGTAATAGAGACGCTGATACACTCTTCACTACAACACTGACACGCACTATGCCAGATACTGAACACTGAGTAAACTATAAATGTATTATCTTTTAATTCATACTGCCTGTTTTCCATTAAATGAGACTTTGACAGTGTTTTTGCACTTTTTCTCAAACCCTAAAAGCCCAAATGTGGGTCTGACATTACAATGCCAACATATCCTGGCAGCAGTCCACGATTTTGGATTATTACTGAGGAGGTCTGGTATGCGCTGCTTGGCTTAGCAATTTAGTGACATCACTAGGGAAGCATATCCTCTACTATAAGTTTTGCCAGAGTCTTCTGTGCTATATGACCAGAAACTGGCCGTCCTTGGGTCCTTGGTTGGAATAAAAAGTGGCAACAACAACAACAACAACAACACAACAGTGCAATGCACAGGTAAAGCATTTTATCTGAAGCTATGGGAGAACAAAATGATCTTGCCAATGATGCCCGTGAAGGACCCTTCAGGGCTCGATGGATAAGCCTGTTAGGAGCGCTCTCTAAAAGGCAATAAGTGAGGGAGACTAGGTAATAAATGACTTTTTTGCTTGTGCTTGGTCTCAGGGGATATTCTCTCAATGAATTAATATTCGAGCGGAGAGTCAGGCCCGGGCAAGTTTATACCCATAAAAATTCACAAATTATGGCCATGGTGACAAGCCACTCCATCAGCAGAGATGTTAATAATGTACAATATGCTGCTGCTACGTTAAAGAAAATGATCATTACACAAAGGCAATGTGTGAAATAAAAGTTAACGCCCTACACGGCCTGTCACACAAACATTAGCCGTGGTGATGAAGAAAAAAAAAGTGTCCTTAACAACAAAAACATGCACTGGCAAATGCTAAACTCCAATTTTCCGTATTATTCTTTGCCCTATCCATCATTCTCACTCTCACACAGACATGTTTACTCCTTACTGAAACCTTTGATATCCAAATCGCTTCTTTAAACAAAAAAAAAAAAAAAAAAAACTTTTCAAAAAAGCAGAAAACTGAAGTGAAAGAGCTGAGGAGGAGAACAGGCGATAGGCCTGTTCCTACAGATGTCAAAATCCATCAACAAGCAGGTGGAAATGCAGTCAGTCTGAGAGGGCTTTTTGAAATCCATGCACACCATTTCAATAACAATTACTTCCATAATCTTCAAAGTTTTTCATTCATTTGAAGAACGCCGAACATGAGAGAGGATTCGGCTGCTGAGGCTCAGCCTGTCTGACAGAGATACATGAGGAAAAAGAAAGCACAATACTTGGCTGCATTCTCTGTTGGAGATGTAGGGAATTTGGCAGCAGGACTCTGTTTGTGAAAGTCTCTCACTGTTTGGGTGGACTTCAGTCCAATTTTACTCTAAGCTCTAGAAATCCACCCCAATATGACACACAATAAGAGATGGAGCATAGTTTCGATTTCACTTTGTTACGTCTCGAAGTCCTCTTAACAAATAGTCCCAGACGAAAACAAACAAATGAGCATTCTGCCAATGTGTCAATGATCATGACTGCTTTATCCCAAACAGGTTGGAAAGATGTTTAGTAAAATACTTGTGTCAAAGCAATGGGCCAGGGGCGCACCTAAATTACAACTTGGTTTTATTATGCATGGTTGTAAAAAAAGAAGAAAAAAAAAGCCCCCATCATCCATCATGTTAGACTCAGATGCACCTATAGGCAGATGGGAATCTCGGACACATGCATTCTTTGGGGTCTGGCACGTCTCCACACCTCTGTCTTCACATACTTCATCGGATTCGTGTTTGAACATGAACCACCGGGCAACGTGCTGTCACATCACTTTATAATCACTCTGATATCTGCACCAGACTAGAACCGCTCGGTGTGATTTTTTGCACATGCAAAGTAAAACGCTGCCTCCAACGTGTGCGCTGAGGCGCAATGCTTTAGATGCACTTGGATTATTAGCCTACTGTTGTCATCGGAATAAAAGTTGGGATAATAGAGTGATGAAGATAAAATCAGAGCACAAATCACTCCTCATTTTAGCGCACATAATTCCACAGGGGCAACATGTTTTAAGTTGGATCTAAATTGAGCTGCACAGTTTAAAGATCTTAAAATAATCCTTTAGTTTACAACCACTCCTGCAAAACTGCTGCCTTTGAACATTAACCTTTAACATCCATCATAAATATCATAAAATCCATCGCTGGTTGAACTGTGATGATCAAATTGTAGCTGACTCTAAATCAAAATCAATGTTATTTTACGAAAGCAGCAGACAATGAACCATGTGCCATTACCTGCCGTCAAAGTCTGCACTTGCTCCAAAGCAGCAGCTGTACAGCAACATCAACTTTATCCATAATTCCATGGCTTCGAGAGTTACGAGACCACGCCGCTTGTTATTCTCCGTAATCCAAAAGCAGCTGGCAGAGAAGCGCGGATCAAACAAACAGACAAAGAAAGAGCGGAGTTCCTTTGACGCACGCTGAAGGTGCACAGGTAGGAGAAGGTCTGCTGACGTCCCTCAGACTGCTCATGTGCTGTGTTCAGGAGGTGCGGGAGACAAACCAGTCCGCTGCCTGGGAAGTAGAGTGACCCCGATGTGTGTGTATGTGTATGTGTGTGTGTGAGTGTGAGTGTGAGAAAGAGAAAGAGAAAGAGAGAGAGAGAGTAGGGGAGAGAGAGAGAGAGAGAGAGCGTGTGGAGCGGGACGCACTCTGCCGGGAAGAGAGCGCACAGCTCCCTCTCTCCTCTCCTCACAAGTTCAGTCAGCGGGCTCTCTCCAACCAACAGCACCCACTGCAGTCAGACCCTGCCACGCTTCTTTACAATAAGCAGTAGTTGACTTGTGGGACATTTTTTTTTGTATGTAACGTCACGGCCTGTTCAGCCCTGAGGAAGCGATGTAACTCTACGCCACATGCTTAGGAAATGCCTTAATTAATTGCACAGCCTGCTGAGGCACGCAGGTGCATCGCCCACCCAGGTAGATGCTGCTCCTTACGCAGTGAAAAACACTAAGGGCTGGATGTGGACAGGACCAAAACATAAGCATCAAAAATACAAAATTAGCGGTTTGACAATGTTTGAGGAGCATTTGAATAAAAAAGAAAGGCTTTGGAGCTGTGTAATTATTGTAAATAAAAACACAAGTTCAATCACAGCCGATGGCAAATGTTTCTTGACATAACGATTTCAGCATAAGAGCGAGTCTGTCTCTGCTTTTGTGTGAGCTATTTTGTCTGAGGCATTATCATATATATTTTGTCTGATGCATTATTATATATATATATATATATATATATATAAACACATATAAAAGAGGAGCATTCAGCTGCTTTTGAATTTTTCCCATCAATCTTAGCACAACAAACCTCTCCTGAAAATTTGATGCGCTCTTTGTTGGCCCATTCTCAATTCTCAGCAAAGAGTTTATGTCTGATCATTTCCTGTCTGACTCATGAGCAGCATTTCATATTCAAAGGCTGGTGAATTGAACTTCCTGTCTGTTGGCAGAATCATAAAGGCCGAGGAAGTCGGTCAGTCAGTCAGAGTCATTTTCCACTCAGGACTCAGTGGAAAGAAAGGAAACAGTGGGAAATCAGGTAACAGGTAACCGCACACCATCATTGTCGGCGAAGAAGCAGGAGATGAATTAGATGAAGGTTTGACGTGACCACTGTTGGTTGTTCACAGTCACCGCCGTCTGTTGATACATGGCACCCTTCGCCTTGTTACGCCCCGTCACCGATCTGATGAATCTATGCGGTGGCACCAGAGGTTTGACGTCTCCAGGGGCACGTGATCGGAGAAATGTCGCTTGTGTATAATTACACTATTAATCACATTATTTTCTCGACTGAAATGTAAGAAAGTGATTCCATGATGATTTATTGCATTTAAAAAATGAATTATGGGTTATATCATGCCTCATTACCAACTATACTCGCATGTTGTTGGAAGCTAAGACAGATAACGTGAAACTTTAAAGGGTCACTTCACCCAAAACACAAAAATACATTTGTCTCACTTTTTTTCTTCAGTTGAAGTTTGGAGAATGTCACTCCCTGAAACTAAATAGTTTTAGTTAGGATTTAGTTGACGTTGTTGATTTCAAAATGAAATTCCTTAAACCATAAACATTAATTCATTAGTCATTTATTATTGGACACTTTAAACTCTACCTCTGTGTTGAATTGAATGCTTTCATGTAGACAAAATCAGTCAGCTTAAAGACTCTTTAAGTTACACTTGAAATTTATTTGAGTAATGTCATTGGAAGGATAGTGAATGCACGCTTAATCTGGGATACATGATTTCACCTATAATAGTGCCAAATTCCAGCAAACCTTAAAGGAAATAATAAAAGAAAAAGGGACTTAATAAAATATTTCAAAATTTAGTTGTCGTGGTGATCTGAGTGTTGAAAAAACTCAACATCAACATGTCTGCCCAGAAACTAATCCAAGTTACTCTTGAGAATCCACAAAACATGCTGTTGACTGTCAAGGGTAAACGGAAAAGAGGAAAGATGTACTCACCCTTTAATGATCCCCCTGGGGAAATTAAGTCGTTACATTTTGAACTAAACAGACAGCTCTACAGCAGACAGAAGTAGAACATAAATGCAAAAAATAGAATATAAACAGGGGAATCCTAAACTGGGGTTATGTGAAGGTGACTTCTGATGTGACAAGGAGGATGAGGAGCATCAGGAAACAGATTACAACATTACTAGGGTGCGCAAAACAGCAGCAGCTAGGACCTGCTGTAGGCAACCGAAGAGGAATGCGTGCATAATAATTGTTGTTATTCTGGGCTCCTGTAATTATGCTCCACATTTGTCATTTGCAGAAAATATACAAGTCAAATGAAACACATTTTATTGATGATGACGCGTGTTAAATGGGAATTACAAAAGAGCAGCACAGAGCCATTTCATCTCGGCTTTGACTTTGTATCAGTGCTCCTTCTAGTAACCCAGAACACATGAGCAAGGTCCCTGATTGTCTAAAAGGGAAAAATTCATGTGAGCAGGGAGAGACCCCATATATACAGCGAAGAGCTATTGCAGACGAACGGCCATAAACAGTGGCAGCGTAATGACATGGAAAACTGTTGGTCAAAACACCAAGACGAGCAGAATTTTAATCACGAGTAATAACTGAAGTTAATAAAACAGTGAAAGCTCCATTATTTCCTGGCGGAGGTTTTCTGCTGCAACAGACTGTTGAGTTCAGAGCTGCGTTTGAAAACCCCCACGACTGGCGAAGGGAGAAACTCTTGAGTATCCACTGAGGTTAGGAGAAAAAGATTCTGGGAGTAAGTGCCCAGCCGCGATTATTTTAACACTGATAATCAGCATATACGTAAATTGTTTCAGTTTCAGCTCACATGTTGCTAACATTTGAGGCCAATCAGTTAATTACACAATAAAAAATGCATCCAGCTCAGTGTATCGCTGACTCGATGCTGTTAAGGCTTCATTAGTAAAGGAGCGCTGTGAATTTACTTGGAAATAAAAGGCCCAGATTTCTCCCTCATTTTGTTTAAACAATGAATCTTGTCAAGTCACCTTCTAGCCCCGGGTGTTTGGGTTTAATCGAGCCACTTCACACCTCAATATTCTCCTCTCTCATGCAAGCATTAAGTAGTGCCACCTACTCACTCTCCCCTCCTTTATGCCTATATGCGTTTCTGTAATGCGCACTTGTGTGGAGCCACAACCATGAACAGGGAGTCAGACGTCTCCTTTTGAAATAATTCCAGTCCTTGGAAGGAGCTGTGTATGTGGCCATTCACCTCGGGATAGATTGACTCTGCTGACTGAATTCAGATGAGCTCGGCGCTGGAGAAGCCCGCGCCCCCTTTTTTTTTTTCTCTCGTCTATCCCTTCAGAGCGAGCAGGAAAACTGGCTCTCCGGCTACCTCCTCAGATTTCTCAAGCAGCTGCAGCGCACTGTCAAAGGTGACAGCACAGGATTTTTCAGAGAAACAGATGACCAGTTTCACCTGCGAGAATGAAAGCTTAAGGGGCTGTGATGGTGTCTACAGTGTACAGGATTGGAAATAGGGAGCGTATTGTGTGATTTTTAGCTACCAGGCCCTGAGCATCTAATCAAGCACACTGACCTTTTCACCAGCATCATAAAATATTCATTGGTGCTGAACATATTACGGGATGCATACCATATTCACATCTATTCTTTATGAGGAATAATAAGTTTCTCTGTAGAACCTTGACAAATGCTGTATTTTGCCTGATGTGATATGAGATTAAATCCAGTTTCTCTCTCTCCATGCCCCCCCCCCCATAAACACACAGAGGAACGGTAGATAATGATAATTCCCTATCTCATCTAACTGCAGATGAGTTTCAAGCTCTGAATTTCCCCCTTCTTCTGTTAATACCTGGCAACAGAGGGAGCTGACTGCTGAGCTCTTTCACAGAAGGCCGTACACAGACTATTCGCAAAAACAGCATGTGGATGCATGGTGTACTTAATTCGCAATGTGGGTGTGTAATTCCTGCTGCTACTGTTTACACTGACAGCTTGATCGCACAGTTTAGGCAAAATCACAAACATAACATAGCAGTTGGTGAGAGGCTTGAGCTCTCCTGCTATAACCTAGCACCTAATAATTGAGCATATGTAACTAAGAAGAGGGGTAGTTGTCAGAGAGCACTCTTCTATGTGTTTATCGAGACAAAAATCAACCGCACATGAACCTTAAGGCTGAAAGAAATTATAGAAGATGACTGTAGCTACAGAAATGATAAGCAAACATATCTTTTTTTTTATTTTCCGAGGCCATTTCTTACAAAAGGACTCAAAGGAAATAAATAAAAAGAAAATGCTGAGGGTGGATACAAAATAGTTGAGACGTCATGACACAGCCTAAAGCCACAGAGACTGGGCACTTTATCAAACCCCGACCATACTGAAGATGCTCTGCTGCATACCGGTGCTTCCAGTCCTAATTATGCACCAGTGCTTCCAGTTGACTAGCACTGGTTTCCAGTCCAATTTTCTGCGGCGGCCTTCCCACTAGCATGTTGTTTTTTGGTGAGCAGCTTTCAGGCTCCATAGTCATCACCCGCACCGAGTACCCCTGAGTCTCAGCTGCCCACGACCGGTCCAAGTCTACCAGGCCCATACACTGTTTACCTGTAGTAGTCAAAAAAGAAAAATGTAGCTGTTTATCACACAAGAATAAAAGATCCCAGTGTCAGACACTTAAAAAAGAACTTTTTTTCTGTTTTATACTTAAATGAGAGATAAAATAACAGAAACAATTAATAATAATAATGATAATATAATAATAAAAATAATAATTATTAAAAAAGTACAGCAACAATCAAATCACAATCCAATACTGGAGCCTGACTGATTTTGGATGTTTTTAGGCCGATGTTATATTGGTAAGTATGAATAAAGCAAATCTCTTTTTAGAGCTGTGACTGACTATTATTTTCATCATTGATTAACCTGCAGATTATTTTATCAATTAACTGCTTTGTCTATGAAATATCAGAATAACAAAAACAGCCCGTTGAGGTTTTCTAGAGTGCAAGGTGACGTCTTTCAAATGTCTTGTGTTGTACGACCCTGTTGAAAGCAAAAGATACTGGATTTATAGTGATAGAGAACCAAGATTAAGAGATTAGCAAAATAAGATGCCAATTAATTTTCTGTTGATCAATTAATCCACTAATTATTTCAGCTCTATCTAGTTTTGAAATTTTTGTACAGATGTTATATTCACATAAAGTACACAAACATTTTTGTGTTGCTCAAATTTTGCTATTATTTAGCGGGAGATTTGACACTTTGAACAGTAAACATCATTGTTTACTGTTACTATTTACTTCACTGTTTATAAGTTGAGAATAACTGTGAATATGATACAACATTTTGAACAGTGAACTATGGTGAAAGTGACATTTTGTTACAGACAAACTATACAAAAAAACATTTGCTAGGTTTGCAGATGCTGCCATACATGTGTCTGGTGGGATTCAATTTAACATGAACATCCCACCACGCTTTGTGACATGTTTAAAATGCAGGTAAGGCCCAGTTTACCTCGACTTTGGCTCAAAATGACAAGAGGAAAAGATTTGTATGACTTTTTCCGTTGATGAAACATTGCTATTGTGATGTTAGGAATTCAATGTCCCCATCGACAGACATTTGGGGGAATGTATATGAAGGAGCACTGAAGCTAATTTGGCAGCTTGTGTTGGCAGGCTCATTTTTAAAAAATGTATTTATTCACCCATCTGTGTATGCTGCTTATGTTGATAAAGCTGAGCCAATATCAGCTGATCAACGTATGAGTCAGGCTCTAATTCAGCAGCATGTATTGTATTGGTAGTGTATTAATTGGTATATTGTAAGGTGTTCATGTTATTTTGTCCACTTCCTATATGTTCTAGCATTCATATGTATCAGTGTCCCACAGAAAGCACTGATTCATCAACAGCTTCACACTGATTAGCACGGTTTTCTCTTAGGATTTCCTTTACACACACACGCTTCAAATGTATTTTGCAGTTTAGCAGTTCGGTAGCAGGTGGCAGACACAGTAAATGTAAAAGCTTTTGGTCTGCCATGCTGCCGGTCACAGTCACACAGACAGCCTCTAGAGAGAGATGAGATCAAACATGGTTAGAAAATGTTAGTGGGAGAGGTTGAGCCCTGTTAACTGATACAGAGCAGAAACCGCTGTGACAGGTGATGTCGGGTACATATGAAAGGGCTTCAGAGTGACGAGGCAACGGGGAGCCTCCTTAGATTCAGAGGGAGGCTTTGATAGGCTGGAGAGCTATCAGGGTGAAGAGAGTCCTCAACAATAATGAAACAGTGCACAGTAAAGCTTTCGCAGAGGCCTGGAGGTTTCACTCTGGCAAAACACTTTCCTCTGAATATGACAAAACTGATCTGGCAGCTGTTCTCTGCAGCTGCTTTGTCACATTGTAGAAATCCCCACATTAACATTTTTCACACTCAAAAGCCTAGACCTCTTTGAAAAAAAAAAGTAGAGAAGTGCGGTTAGGTCACAGTGTAAAAATCTCAGAAAACAAAACATCAACATGTACTGAGCTAGCTGCTTAGGTGTGATCAAAACAGCAAAACACACATCACATGTCAATATGTGATGCTGGTGTACGTCACACTGGACTATGTGATAAACATATATCAAACTGGCAGTGTGAGCTGGCAGGGTCACGAATTTCAGGAGTAATTCTGTAAAAAAAAAGTCACTGATAAATTTGTTTTTCAAAATTTTGCATTAAAAAATTCATTTACTGTAAAAATTCCAAAATTTCATAACAACAGCCAAACAACAATCCCATTTCTATTGTCTATATTTAGATATATAAAAGTAACAGTGGGTGAATGTTCAGGTAGAAGGAGAAGATTGAAAGTAGTACCTATGAGTCGCCTCTCAGGAGGGAGCTGGACGGCAGTTTGGTCTGCAAAACGGCAGAGGATCATGTGTTCCTGAAATAAGGACAGACAATATGTGCACAAAGAGTTTATTACAGGTGAACTTAATGCTAGCGCTAACAAGTTTTGGTCCTGCCACGATCGGAGATATTAAAGATTTCCACAAAGGTTGGTTTTTAAAATGAGACATATCGCTATCATGCATGCAGATACACATGCAAGCGTGCATTAATTAGTTCTATCTATTGGCTTAAGCCTGCTGGGTTATCCCAGCATGCACTTAGGCTGAGAGGCAGGTAATAGTTCTCATCCGATCTGAATGAGGATTCTAGGTAGGGACTCTAACCAAACAGTGTTCAAGCAAATTAGCAAACATTAGCATGCTAACAAGCGAAACTAAGAAGGCGATCATGGTAAAGATTACCTACTATAACATCGAAACGTTAGCATAGTCACTGTGAGCATGACAGAATGATGATATATAGTCTTTTTCAGTGTGTTGTCTCTTTGTGTGTTGCTGTCACTGGACTGATTAACACTGATGGACTGGATTGAGTTCTCTGCAATGTGTGCATTAATAGTAGACCAGTTTACAGATTGTTAGATAAATTGACCAGATGAAAAAAAACCCATTCAAAAAAAACAAGGTAAGTTTTATGTGAACGACATCATATGATTCTGAGACTCTTTTCACAAACTCATCCTTATAAACTCTTCACAAAGGTTAGATGAACCCCAGTCATTTATTTCTACGCACTGTCCAGTTTTTACCTCGCTCTGGTTCAACAAGGTTAGTCATCTCTAACCCGCTTCTACTTTAATTCATTCTATTCCTCCCTCCGTGGGGTTCGACGCCGAATGCAAGGCCACAGAGCAGGTGCTTAAAGTTAGAGCTGAGCACCAATATCTTGCACCATTTGCCCTTTATTCCAGTGATACAGCCATTTGTCCATGTGCTGTCATTCTGTTTAACTACTGTAGCTCAGGAAGGAAATAAAACATTGCAATGCAGCTTTTATGTCTCCAAGTACCAGCTGGAGAGAAGAGACACGGGAAACAGTGGAGTTCTGTATACTGAGCCCAAATGAATGGCAAATACCAAACGTGGCTGTTGAAAGCAAAATCAAAAGGGTGGGGGGGGATTTAGAGCTCAGGTTTAAAATGGCAGATAATGTTTGTGCTGGCTTAAATAGAACATAGATTTATCCTGCTGTGAAGCGACATGTTTAGCCTCTTATTTCCAAACAGAAAGTATGGCAGTTGTGATTTCTTTTCCTCACTGGGCCTTTGGACAAACAGTAGAAAAATTGCAACCCAGTATCACAGAACAATACAATTGCCCAGTGTCTTGTAAATAATAGGTAATCCTCTGCGGGTCTCAAGCCCTGTGTGTAAGAATGTGTTTCTTCTAGTGCACAAGAGAAAAGCAGTTAAGGGGTGGTCCGATGTTGTGACACGTCAACTCCTGAGGTTGCTATGGCTAGGACCTGCAGCAACTCTTGCACAGATTCTCCCCCAGGAGCACTGACAGGTCCTATACATCATCATGGGATGGGCATTCCCAGAGCACAGTGCCGTGTCTGTGCTGAGCGATAAGGGATTGAAGCCTGGAGGGTGTGAGCCTCCTTCTTGTAACTGCCATGGGGAATCTTTGTTCCCAAGACAGTGATGAGCCCAGAGATGTAATTAATTTTATTTTACTGTCCCATAAAAGAAATAAAAGAAATTTGAAAGAAAAAGCAAAGAAAGCAATATCACAGAAGCAAGCGGAGAAAAACGTACTCACACCAAGAAGAACAAGTTCATGTCAGCTACTTTTTATCCAAATTTCAAAATGAGTCTTAATTAGTTTATTTACATTTTAAGTGTAGATTAAGTCCTAAGTAGCTTTTACGCATTTACATGTTACTCTTTACAATCTAAGACTGTTATCCCAAGTTGTAATGGTGCAACACAGTTTAGCAAACAACCAGTTTGACACTAGTAGTTACTAAGAATTTAGAAAGGAGTTAGTGATGGATTTACAAATAGCTGGGACAGCCCAGTCCAGGTGTGTGTCTGCTTGTCAGTTTGTTCCTCAGTTGTCTGAACGTTTGTCTGAATCTTGTCTGGTTGCTGTGTTTGCTGGGTGTTGACAGTTGTGGTATGAGTGAGCACTTTCACCGGGTCATTGCACTCCAGACATGTGGAACTATAACTTTTAAACTAAATGCCTCTGATTCAATAATTCTTCTGTTAAAGCGGCAGCATCTCAACTAAGACGCAATTAGAGAAGAAAAAGCTGCCTCACTGTGTCGTAACAGAGTACGAACGACCCCTTATGAATATGATGTTTGAAACTAAGTCATGACCAACAAAGGCGTCTTTCGGCATGCATATAGTGAACTGAATCTTAAAGACAATCCTTTTAAAAACTGAGTTGCTGTAATTCAATATTCTATACTAGATATTTTGCTTCAGTGCAAATGAATAATAAATGCAACAGAGGGATTTAATAACATACCTTATAAGTCAGAGTTTCTTGGAACCTTTTGCTGTAAAAAACAGAAAAAAAACAGTAAACATTTTGATGTTAAAAGTGCAGTGATTATGACTTAGAGGTAAAATCTATTTATCACACTTGTATGTCATATGTTTACTTGGAGTGTTTTATTTTTAGGGACAATCACTTTCCAAACAAACTTGGAATATATAACCACATGTACAAGAAGCACCGTCTCTGACTGTCTCTCTGGCCTTTTTTAAAAACAAGGCTTTTCTCTGTTACATGGGCGCACATTCAGTTTGTTTGTGATGGTTAAACGTAGTCAGATCATTGTTGAAGCTAATTAAAAATCAACATGAGGAGGGTCAGGGGTCGGGGGCCAGCCAGGTCACATGGAGAGAAGTCTAAAGATTAACTCGAACTGTTAGGGCCTTACTTAATGAAACGAGCAGTTTAGTTTCACAGCTCATAAAAACCTGTGAACTGCCTGGAATGTCTACACCTGCAGAATATTCACATGAGTACCTGGAACATGACCTGAGGGGGGAAACACTAAAAGTAGCTAAGATGAAGATTGACACAGTCAGGTGCGTAGGCCCCTCTCACATACTGCCCTGCAGAAACACGGCTTCTTGTTGTCCGTTGCAGCTGCAAAGTCTTTTTTCGCCGTTCTTAAATTTTTTATGAGGAGTCAGGAAGGGTGAAGTGTCAAGTTAGCAAAAGTGAGAAAAGCAGAAACTAAGTATGTAAAAACTCCTAAATATTTATACTGTACACCAAGGGTTTTCCCCGAGGCACAATTTTAGGGTCAGTTGTGCCATGGAGACAGAAAATATTCATTCTTTATTTGTAGGAAGGGGTCTCTAATAATCACATATCAGGCCACCTGACACAAAGTAACGGTCAACAATTTAACCAGTTTACATCAGTGTGTAAGTATATTAAAGACCTGGAAACTATAGCAGCAATATATACACTTCATGCTTGGTTAAAAGTTGTGGTGAAATGAACAGAAACATCTGTTAAACTGACGGCAGCAAAGAAGCAGCTGATGATGTCCCACTGTTGTTCTTGTAGCATGTGTCGATTTGTGCAATGCCGCTGGCTTATGGCACTTCTAAACACTGTCACTCATTTTGACCGTCATATACATGTCTCACGGACACACACCCAATCCAATTGACATATGCCACTGCTAATTATAACATGCCGATGCTGTGTGCGGCTTATGAATAGCTTTTCATATCTGTTTCACTGGCAGATAGCGCAGGTGGTGTGCAACTCTCTGTTCAGAAATCTCCTCTGGCTTGTGTTTTCTGGGTGTTGATGAGTGTGGCGTGAAAAAGCACTTTCATCTTTCCATGGGTCATTGCACTCTGGTCTTGACAAGTGAAGCTCTAACTTTTAATACAGTGTAATTCCATTACACAGTGCTGTGTAAGAGTCTTAGGTACCTTAGATATTTAGATCCATCACAAAATACCATCAGGGAGGTGCCTGATTGGTCCCAAATTCATAATGCTGAATGAGACAACAACTGCAAACACACAGTCATAAAGAACTATCTTCAGAGACAAGCTCTCCAAGATGCTTGGAACACTCTGTACGCATGTAACTCTAATGAACATGATGCTTTAAAACAATTCATGACCCACACATTGAGCTATCAGGAGCTGTTTTGAACTGATTTTCCTCTTATCTCTCTGGCAGAGAGTTCCTTTTTGAAATCAATAAAAACATCTCCGAAACACCAAAATAACATGCAAGGGTTCCTCAAGGATTGATTTTAGGGCCACTTCTTTTTAATCTATATATATATATTACACCTTAGTGATGTCATCAGGAGAAATGGCATCTCCTTCTATATACTGATGACACATACCAGCTCCCACTCACTTATGACAATTCCCTATCGCCATACCACTGCTGATACTCATTGTGGTATGCTGCAGCAATGTTCTACCGGAAGATTCTGCTGCTGCTACTGTCAAAAAATATACTGGGTACTTTGAAGTTGATTGAAACCTACAAAATCCCTCAAATATGTTTCAGCTATGACAGAGAGAAGCATTTATTGAATGACTGATTAAACATAGAGACACTGTCTGTTTCTGTTCCCAAAAACAAAAACTGACATAAAAAAAAAAAAAAAAGCAAATTAAAAATGCTACATTTTAATGGAATATTGGATGGAGAGATGAGGAAAATGACTATGCAGAGAAAGCCAGAGGTGGCTCAACTTTAGCTGATTTGGGACTCTGCACTGAAAACTGATAACTAAATTGTAAAAATAATGCATCATTTGCTTTTTTTTATATGTCAGTTTATATAGTGGTATTTAGGAGGGAGATACACGGAGCAGGACAGTGTTCTCTATGTTTAATCAGTCATTCAATAAATGCTTCTCTCTGTCATAGCTGAAACATATTTGAGGGATTTTTGAGGTTTCAATCAACTTCAAAGTACCCCAGTATATTTTTTTGACAGTAGCAGCAGCAGAATCTTCCCGGTAGAACAAATTGCTGCGCAGCATACCCACAATGATTATAGCAGTGGTATGGCGATAGGGAATTGTCATAAGTGAGTGGGAGCTGCGTATGTGTCATCAGTATATAGAAGGAGATGCCATTTCTCCTGTGATGACATCACTAAGGTGTAATATATATATATATGATTAAAAAGAAGTGGCCCTAAAATCAATCCTTGAGGAACCCTTGCATGTTATTTTGGTGTTTCGGAGATGTTTTTATTGATTTCAAAAGGAACTCTCTGCCAGAGAGATAAGAGGAAAATCAGTTCAAAACAGCTCCTGATAGCTCAATGTGTGGGTCATGAATTGTTTTAAAAGCATCATGTCTCATTAGAGTTACATGCGTACAAGAGTGTTCCAAGCATCTTGGAGAGCTTGTCTCTGAAGATAGTTCTTTATGACTGTGTGTTTGCAGTTGTTGTCTCATTCAGCATTATGAATTTGGGACCAATCAGGCACCTCCCTGATGGTATTTTGTGATGGATCTAAATATCTAAGGTACCTAAGACTCTTACACAGCACTGTGTAATGGAATTACACTGTATTAAAAGTTAGAGCTTCACTTGTCAAGACCAGAGTGCAATGACCCATGGAAAGATGAAAGTGCTTTTTTCACGCACACTCATCACACCCAGAAAACACAAGCCAGAGGAGTTTCTGAACAGAGAGTTGCACCACACCTGCGCTATCTGCCAGTGAAAACAGAATATGAAAAGCTATTCATAAGCCGCACACAGCATCGGCATGTTTAATTAGCCAGTGGCATAGTGTCAATTGGAGTGGTCGTGTGTGTCCGTGAGACATGTATATTGACGGTCAAAGAAGTGACGTGGACAGTGTTTAGAAGTGCCATAAGCCAGCGGCATTGCACAAATCGACACATGCTACCAAGAAACAACAGTGGACATCATCAGCTGCTTCTTTGCTTGCCGTCAGTTTTAACAGATGTTTCTGTTCATTTCAGACCCACAA